TACATGAAGGTAAAACATTTGGAGCCGTACAACCAACCAGTGTAAATCGAGGAATGAACACAAATCTCTGGTCTGTTAGGGCTGCGTTCACACGGGCGATCAGAGACTGTGCAGTGATAGGATCCTCTCTGCAGCTCTCCGGGGCTGTGACAGCCAGACCCCATTCACTAGGTCAGGTCACCAGTGACCACAGCTATTGGTGGCTCTCTGCAGTCAGTGATCACCGCAGGCTGGCTGTGTAGACAGTCACTAACAGCTGCAGGAGACCTGTCAGTGATTGGGGCCACACCAGTGATTGGGGCCACACCAGTAATCCCCGATTCCTACCGCTACATCTCACCCCAGCCCTAATCATCAGTGTGAACATGGCCGAAGGTAGCAGAGCTCCCAGCATGCCTCATCACACAGCAGTGGGGACTTCAGACCCCATGTAGTTGCCATGATACAAGCACACAATTCATTTGGATCCAACTTTGAAATGAGCCTCTGAATTGACACCATGACCATGAAGCTGCCCCCCCAGGTACACAGCAATATCTGACTCAGCCCTAGGCTGTCTGCAGAATTAGGACCTGCGTCAAGGGACTGCTTTACATGGGACAGTTTTAGAAGTCTATGGAAATGCAAACCCCAGTTGATGAAGGTCAAATTCAGGTGAGATGGAGGTCAACTGCCAATGAATTGTGAATGATCTGACAAGGGTCCTGAACCGATGCAACAAGCTGAAAGGCCTTAGAGAAGTATGGAGGGTGTGTGACAGATATAATAGGTCCATATGTATCAGAGGTATGGGGCACTCATGGCACATGGAGACCCCCGAGCGTCCCACCCTGACCTCACAGCTATATGGGATAGAATTCTTACTTTGTAGTGGCAAAGGGTTGGCCGAAGTAGACCTCCTCCCGAGATTTAGGCACATGCAGGGTGATCTCTTCTGTTGGATCCTGTCCAGCCTGTTTGCACTGTCCTAGTGAGGAGTCCAAGGCCGTCCTGAGATGAGAGGAACACTTGTGAAAAGCAAGGCCTTCTATGTGTGCTCTGAGTTCCCCAGCACTCTGAGCAGTCATACTGTCAGCCATCTCTATCCTCAGGCTATCGCAGAGGCCATGCCGTAACCTGCTGTCTGTCCAGTTCACATTGCAGGCATCCTCCTGGCCAGCGGCCTCACATGTACAGCAGTCTAGATAGGAGAGATCATCAGCAAAGGTGGCCAGAGAGTCCAGACAAGTGACCACCAAGCTGGAGGATTTCAGTTGTGCTGCGCTCAGTTTTCCTCCGTAGAGGAGCATTATGGGAGAGGGGGGCTTTCCCCGACTGATCATCTGTATTGGATCGACTCTTATCGGCAGCTTCATCAATAATCATCTTATTGGGAGGGTTTTCATCCAGAGAACTGGAGTCATTATCAAACAAGTCACTGTCATTCAGCAGCACCAACTTCTTCCTGCGCTTCATCTGTGCCGACATCTTTATGTGCTCATCCTCAGGGGGTGGAGCTGGATCTACGGCCTCACAGGGGGCTGGGACTTGTGCTTCTATAACATGCAGCGGTAATGGCAGAAGGTACTCTAGATTGGTGGATATGAAGTCCGTGTTTCTTGATTGGAACTCCCATAACAGCCCCATTATCCTTCCCCACTCCTCGGGTTTGGAGATTTTACCCTAAAAACACAACACAGAGCATAGGATCAGCACACAGATCATCACCACATTCACCCGAGAGTTCTACATTCACCGCACATTGTCACACAGGAGGGAATAAACCAACGCGCTGGGACACCATCCCTGAAGAAGGCTGCAATGGAGGCACAACACAACTATGCTCCTAGAACTGTACAGGTCATACCCCTGGAAAGCAGGACAAACCCCCCCCCCCCCCATACCACCATACAACCCCCCCCCCCCCCCCCGAAAAAGGCTGCAATGGAGGCACAACACAACTATGCTCCTAGAACTGTACAGGTCATACCCCTGGAAAGCAGGACAAACCCCCCCCCCCCCCCCCCCACCATACCCCCCCCCCCCCCCCCCCCCGAAGAAGGCTGCAATGGAGGCCGAACACAACAATGCTCCTAGAATTGTACAGGTCATACCCCTGGAAAGCAGGACAAACCCCACCCCCCCATACCACCATACACCCCCCCCCCCCCCCCCCGAAGAAGGCTGCAATGGAGGCAGAACACAACAATGCTCCTAGAACTGTACAGGTCATACCCCTGGAAAGCAGGACAAACCCCCCCCCCCACACCACCATACTTATTCCCATGAGGGAGATTACCCTTCACAGTCGGGACCAGACCTTCTACTGAGGCTGAATCAAGTATTTTATTCAGCCAATCACTCACCTTCACAATCAGGTCCCAGACCCCCTACTGGGAGAATCAAGTATTCTAATCAGCCAATCACTCACCTTCACAAATGGGACCAGACCTTCTACTGGGAGAATCAAGTATTTTATTCAGCCAATCACTCACCTTCACAATCAGGCCCAGACCCCCTACTGGGAGAATCAAGTATTCTAATCAGCCAATCACTCACCTTCACAAATGGGACCAGACCTCCTACTGGGAGAATCAAATATTCTAATCAGCCAATCACTCACCTTCACAAATGGGACCAGACCTTCTACTGGGAGAATCAAGTATTTTATTCAGCCAATCACTCACCTTCACAAATGGGACCAGACCTTCTACTGGGAGAATCAAGTATTCTAATCAGCCAATCACTCACCTTCACAAATGGGACCAGACCTTCTACTGGGAGAATCAAGTATTCTAATCAGCCAATCACTCACCTTCACAATCAGGACCAGACCTCCTACTGGGAGAATCAAGTATTCTAATCAGCCAATCACTCACCTTCACAAATGGGACCAGACCTTCTACTGGGAGAATCAAGTATTCTAATCAGCCAATCACTCACCTTCACAAATGGGACCAGACCTTCTACTGGGAGAATCAAGTATTCTAATCAGCCAATCACTCACCTTCACAAATGGGACCAGACCTTCTACTGGGAGAATCAAGTATTCTAATCAGCCAATCACTCACCTTCACAAATGGGACCAGACCTTCTACTGGGAGAATCAAGTATTCTAATCAGCCAATCACTCACCTTCACAAATGGGACCAGGGCTTCTACTGGGAGAATCAAGTATTCTAATCAGCCAATCACTCACCTTCACAAATGGGACCAGGGCTTCTGTTGGTGGAATCACATTACTGAGTCCCATCAGGTTTTCTGCACAGCCAAAGTTACACCCTGGAAGCTCCTTGGGGTCTATTTGTGATGCAGAATTAGTACATCTTTTCCCAGCATCCTCCTCTGCAGCTGACACACCTCCATGTTGTATGCCTGCAGTATAAACACAGAAATCTTGGTTCCTGTAAGTGTGTGTGCGGGCGGGGGGGGGGGAGATATCAGTGTACCTACCAGCTGGAGGATTCATCTCCTTGTCCCTCAGTCCTCCTCCTCCACTACAGGCCCAGAACTGCAGCTGAAGAACACTCTGCCTGATGTCACAGGAGTTGGCTGTTAGGAACGTCATCAAGTCTTTGGCGTCCATCCTGAGATTCTCAGCCAGACAAAGAACCTGCAGATAACTGGCCACATTCACCTGAAACACAGATGGAGGAATAGGACACACCAACACGGGACAGAGAAGTGGTATTACATGTGTGTATGTGTGGTGCATACCATAGACGGCGTGTGGAAAGTGATCTCCTCAAAGATACCATCGAACATTGTGCCGAACATCCCATCTGAAATCACAGCAGGAGATTGAAGGATACAGAATAGCTCCAGAAGAACTTCATTATACAAAAACATTTATAGAGTTTGGAAGCAGAGCAAAAACAAAGCAATGAGGAGCTTGTTACAGAAAGAAGGGGGGGCACAGGGGCACAGCGGGGGGCAAGGGGGGACGCCCATATCCGGCGGGGCACAGCGGGACAAGGGGCGCCCGGTATCAGGCGGGGCACAGCGGGGTACAAGGGGGCGGGACAAGGGGCGGTATCAGGCGGGGCACAGCGGGACAAGGGGCGCCCGTATCCGGCGGGGCATCGGGACAAGGGGCGGTATCCGCACAGCGGGACAAGGGGCGCCCATATCCGGCGGGGCACAGCGGGACAAGGGGCGCCCATATCCGGGGCACAGCGGGACGGGGCACAGCGGGACAAGGGGCGCCCATATCCGGCGGGGCACAGCGGGACAAGGGGCGCCCATATCCGGCGGGGCACAGCGGGACAAGGGGGGGCACAGCCCATATCCGGCGGGGCACAGTGGGGCGCCCACAAGGGGTGCCCATATCCGGCGGGGCACAGCAGGACAAGGGGCCCATATGCCAGCGGGAGAAGGAAGCCATAAAGGGATATGTATACCACCCCTCTCCATATAGCCGGGGGGCACATGTAGCGGAGGTCAGGATCTTCATCAAGATTGTATTCATTCATTAATACAACGCTCTTCCAGTGAATGGATGAGCAGAGCTAAGGATGAGCTCGACTTCATTTTCTCCCAGGAATAGGAGGTCCTGCACCACAACACAGTCCATTTATGTAGCTTACATACAGTATCCAGCACTGACAGCAGCTGCATTCAATTGCCAAGAAAAAGGTTTGTTTGGACCAGGGTGGTCAACACAAAGTTAGAATAAAGCTGAGCTTTGGCTTTAACCCTTGAGCTCTCTTCATCCGTGGCGGATTGGGCACTGGTGAGCACAGTGCATGCCTCAAGACCACTGATGAACTGTAATACATCATATGTGGCATTTAGCTTACCGCTGGTTGTCAGAACGACAGGTCTCTTCGTTGTGCTCATAAAAGTCTTTATTGCACTTAGGAATCCAGAATCATCATCAAATATCACATCAACCTGGAAAAAAGTGCAGACATGTGAGAATCGGCACAGACACACATGGCTGGTCATAGCACATACACACGACTTACCTCCTCAAAGAGGATGAGGGAGGTGGCACTCTTCCTCTGGGTCTCCTCCATTCCCTTGTCAGAGATGACAGCTTTTACAGCTTTATGTTTGCAAGTCTTCCCATCGGAGATTGTGAGCACCGCTGGGGAGAAGAACATAGTCCAAGATCAGTGACAGCCATTCTGAAAATGGGCATTCTAGCTGTGCAAACCAACCCCCTAAAACAACTGGTGTACCCTGGAAGTGGTGACCTTCTGTGATCCGCTGACCAGAACCATGCTAATGTGAGATCTCTATTCGGGGATTTACACCAATTACCTTTGCAGGGGTCTGGTGCTGCCTTCCGCTCATCACTCTTCTGCTTTGGTGCAGCTTTGAAGAAGTTGGCCAGTGACTGGGGGGCCAGACCCTTCTTCCCTCCTCTGGGTGACATGGGAGGCTTCCTAGGAGAGGATACCACGGCCTTCGGAGAGTGCATCTTCCCTGAAAAGGAATAGAGAGCTTCCAATGAAGATGAAGCACTATGCCCAGTCTCCTGATGGTAGTCCTCTCCAATATACATACTGGGAGATTTCCCCAAGGTGTAGCTGGTAAAGAAGCATGGCTTGTGTGCATTGACTCCCTGCTGGTCCACCTGGTGGGACTGGGTGGCTTCCTTAAGCTGAGCCAGGATCTGCCGCCCGCTGCGCTGACAGGAGGCATTCACTTCAAACACCTAGAGAGAAGGAAGCGCACACGCGTGATACACGTGATCACATGCAGTGATACACGGGTGTGCGGACTTGGCCAAGACTTCACAATACACACCTTAAAGCCGAGCTCCTGAGCGCAGGCGTACACCGCCGCCGTCTTCCCCACGCCTGGGGGGCCCAGTAATGAGCATGGTGTTACACAGAGAATCCTCATCACTGTCCTCCTCATCGAAGTCATCCAGGTCCCAGGTGTCTGCCAATAGGAAGAGCACATTAGAAGTGAACACATCAATGGTCTGCGCTGTGTGAACGCTCCGGATCTCACCGCTCTTATCTTTTCCTGTCTTCTTCTCCTCCTTCTCAGCTCGGGTTTTCCAATCCTTCAGCCAGCTAGAAAACACAACATAGCAATGAGGCCACAGACTGCACTGCCACGGCTCACAAGAGACACAAAGGCCCCCCATATTACCCGTGCAGCTTCCTGACAGCAACAGAGTTTCCTATCAGCTCACTGGAGCTCTGCGGCTGGTACTTCTCCGTCCACAGAACGTCCTCCCACACCGGGCCTGAGGAAAAGACAAAACGGATTGTTCCGGACCGTACTTGCAGGAACTTCTACAAACACTTATTTATGAAGAGGAGCTCCTAATAAGGGAAACCACTTCTAGAACTAGAAACACCCACTAGAACGTGTTCTCATTTCCTTCCAGCAGAGCTTCACATTTATCCATTCTTCATCAACTACTTGCCAACCACTCTACAGCAATGTAACTACTACACGGCACCTGCTACACACATAGTATTGTCCCCACCCCCCCAATCATGTGATTCAGGTGCTCCAATCCCCTGTGATTCAGGTGCTCCAATCCCCTCCAACCATGTGATTCAGGTGCGCCAATCATGTGATTCAGGTGCTCCAATCCCCCCTCCAACCATGTGATTCAGGTGCTCCAATCCCCTCCAATGTGTGATTCAGGTTCGCCAATCCCCCCCAATCATGTGATTCAGGTGCGCCAATCATGTGATTCAGGTGCGCCAATCATGTGATTCAGGTGCGCCAATCATGTGATTCAGGTGCGCCAATCATGTGATTCAGGTGCTCCAATCATGTGATTCAGGTGCTCCAATCCCCTCCAACCATGTGATTCAGGTGCGCCAATCCCCTCAAACCATGTGATTCAGGTGCGCCAATCATGTGATTCAGGTGCGCCAATCATGTGATTCAGGTGCGCCAATCATGTGATTCAGGTGCGCCAATCATGTGATTCAGGTGCGCCAATCATGTGATTCAGGTGCGCCAATCATGTGATTCAGGTGCGCCAATCATGTGATTCAGGTGCGCCAATCATGTGATTCAGGTGCTCCAATCATGTGATTCAGGTGCGCCAATCATGTGATTCAGGTGCTCCAATCATGTGATTCAGGTGCGCCAATCATGTGATTCAGGTGCGCCAATCATGTGATTCAGGTGCTCCAATCATGTGATTCAGGTGTTCCAATCCCCTCTCCAATCATGTGATTCAGGTGCTCCAATCATGTGATTCAGGTGCTCCAATCATGTGATTCAGGTGTTCCAATCCCCTCCATAGCATGTGATTCAGGTGTTCCAATCCCCTCCATATCATGTGATTCAGGTGTTCCAATCCCCTCCATATCATGTCATTCAGGTGTTCCAATCCCCTCCATGGACACAGGTGTATACAATCCATCCCCTAGGCATGCAGACGGCTTCTACAAACATTGGTGAAAGAATGGGTCGCTCTCAGGAGCTCAGTGACTCCAAGCGTGGTCCCGGATAGGTGGCCACCTGGGCAATAAGTCCATCCGTGACATTTCCTGGCTACTAAATATTCCACGCTCAACTGTTATGGGATGATAAAGTGGGAGCCACTGGGAAAAACAGCCACTCAGCCACTTCTGCCCCACTTTTGGTAAATCATCAGACTAAATCCGGTGACATCACAAGTGCCGGATAATTTTGGTTTATATTTGGAGAAGATGCCATCTTTTGGCACCATGTGATCAGACCCCCCTGACCTACCTGTGTCGAGGACGACGACAGCATCGCTGTGCCCAGGTGAAGTTGGAATTAAGGGTCTCTCCAACCATGCCCACTGAGCCAATACAAAAGGATGTACGTTTGTACTTCTCCCTCCAACAAAAGAATAAAATCCCCGTCTTCTCAGATGCCTCTCAGACATAAAAGGATTCTGAGGAGACAGATTTTCTTCTTTTGATGTAAAACACCTCATTAAACATTGTTCTTTCCCAAGTCACCCTCCAGGACAGTCACAAGACATGTTTTTCCCCAAACGCTTTAAAATGGAGGCTTGCCATCAGATGATCAGGAAATAACTCAGACTACATTGTACCTTCTGCATCTGGCGCAGTTGTCACCACCTCCTCAATGACGATGACATCCGGTTCTTCAGAAGGAGCACTCCTCCTTAGAGACCCCCTGGACAGACGTTTCTTTCTGGTTTTACCAGCCAATTCCTCCTCCGGATCATCCGTAATGGGGACACCTTTCCTCCTCTTAGATGATTTCAGACCTAGGGATTCCCTTCTCTTCTGCTTCGCCCCATTCTCAGCCTCCTGTAAAGCCCCTTCTATTGCCGGATTTCTCTCTGGTTGCGGCCCACCTGAGGGGTAGAAAAGAAAATGTATGTCTTGTAGTCTTAGCAGCAATGATCCCACCATCCCCCATGCCTGCCGTGTACACACCAGGTTTAGTAGTGTCTTGCTGGGCCAGATAATCCTTTTGCTTCTTCAGGAACTGGGTGAAGAAGCGCTTCACTGGGAACTGAGGGTTGTGCCACCTGATCTCTTCCAGGAGGCAATCTCTAATGACTTCTGAGAACACAGGTCTCCGGGTCATCTAGAAGAGAGCAGAACTCGGTTATTGGTATAAAAGGCATGTGTATCCCCAAACATGACTTGTAGAAAGCCAGTCACCTTCAACAACCTGACGCCTCTGGTGACGCCCTGCCCTCCTCTGCCCTGCCCACCCGCCCTGGCCTCGCCCGCCCGCCCTGGCCTCGCCTCTGGTGCCGCTGCCCACCCGCCCTGGCCTCTGGTGACGCCGCCCGCCCCTCTCTGGTGACGTCGCCCACCCCCTGGCCTGGTGCCTGGCCTCTGGTGGCGCCGCCCGCCCCGCCCTGGCCTCGCCTCTGGTGGCGCCGCCCGCCTTCTCCTCTGGTGACACTAAATCACTGACCAATCTGATGAAGAGTTTCTCCATTGCCGCTCCCTAACTAGAAACGTTTTGCAGCATTACAGTCAGTGAGGGAGCATCAATTACAAGAGAAGGAAGAACGAACAGTGCAGTCCTTGGGCAAAATGACAATCTGGTTCCTGAAATGTCCCCAAGTGACACTTCCCATTCCCCATACATACCATGTTTGGGAACGTGTGGACAGGGAAAGATGCAGAGCAGGAGGTGAAGTCCCCGATGGACATAGTGAAGGAGGCAACGTCTGGAAGGTTGACAGAGGCCGGAACAAGATCCCTCAACAAAGGGCATGAGGGCATGAGCAGACTCCACTTGTCACATCCTGTAGAATCAGACAGACACTCATCACAGGACACATACAAATGGCAGGAACAGAATTGCTGACAGTCACCAGGGCAGTTTACATCAGTCAGTGTGATTTAGGAAAAGCCTTGAGGAAACACTCACCATCCCTCTGCTGCACATGAACCACACTGTGGAAGGACAAGCTGGACAGCGCGTAGGCCTCCCTCAGGGCTGCGGTTTTGGCGATGTGGCGCTTCAGGGAATCTGGTAAACCACTCATGAGAAACTCTCTCTTAGCTTTGAACTGTTCATCATCCTGAGAATTCTCCGAGGTTTCCGAGCTGAAAACACATCAGGCTCATAGGTGTGGTATGATGGTGATGATTGTGTGTACACAATGCTATGACTAGTCAGGGGTAAATGCAGGGCCGGGGCCTTGAATGTGCCCTGATCTGTTAGGAATCTACATATACTGATCCCTTCCCTAGCTGCCTGATTAAACAATATGTGCCAATAGGTCATTTATTATCAATACTATTACTACTGAGAGCACCAAAGTATAAAACAGTAAGGAGAGATGGTGAGGGACAGAGAAATGATCACCGACATGCTTCAAGTACAAACGCCTCATTGGCTGCAGACAAGAGCTACGCCAGTATTATCTAACAAACACGGCCATTATAGCCGACCTGTGAGCCACCAATGAGGTAGAAGCAATGATGTGACTGCTGCTCCTTCTGAAACACCTAGAAGTGGCCAGCGAAACGTCCTCATGACTGGGGTACTAGTTGGGTCTTCTGTAAGCCCAGAATGTGCTATTCTGCTGACCGTTTTATACTTGGTAATTGTGAAGGGCTTTATAAAGTTCCATGTACCCGTTCACTATGCTGGTGACACAAATATTGCTGCTTTTTGGTTTGCAGTTGTGCTGCATTTTATGTAAAACTGTAAGGCTCCATGCACAAGAGCGTATTTTTCAACTAAAAAAATGCTGGAAAAAAAATGTTGGCTACAAAATGCTGATAATAGCGTTTAGGAGTGATTTTACAGTACTTGTAGAAAAAAAACACAATATATAATAAAAGGACAGTGAGCGCTCCTAAAAACAGCTGCTAAAACACCAAAAGATACCAATAAAACCTTTCAATATAAATAAGATGAAGGTGTAGCGTTAAAGGATGAATATTGATAAAAATATCATAAAACTTGTGTGCATATGATCAAATGAATGTCCACAAATGCAGTTCATATATAAAAAAATTCCAATCCCAGGATAAAATCTGCAGCAGACTGACTTGTGACTCCACCAATAAAGTGCGCACTCACCAGAAGCGCATGGATAATGCACATGTAATATAAACTCTCAAGGTAAACAGGATAATCAGGTGAACTTTTCCTCTATGGTGCAGTCATCAGGGCGTTAGAAGTAGTAAAAAAATCTGCTTTATCCGGAGGGTCCCATTAAAGGATTGGATTAGGTGCTCAGCCTGACTACAGGGCTCCTTTTTCTCTGGTCACACTTGTATCTCTGGGGTAACCTGTAGGCGTAATCACTCCATATAGGAGCCACAAAACGTGCCCATAGTGTAGTAGATTCAGTGAATTTATTGCGATGCCAGTAAACAGGCAGATATAGTAACATCAATATAAAGTGTACCAACCCTTAGTTAAAATGGCCGCCATTATGATATATAGTAGGGATTGGCCTGAATTATTAATGTATAAAAAGATATATAGATGACATCTTATTATGGAAAGGAGATGACAAATCACTCATCAACTTCTTTGGAACTGTTGTGGACCTTTTGAATTATGTCTCAAAAATATGACTTTATCAAGACATAATATTATATGACAAACAGCTCAGTATAGCCGGATGCTAAGAGTTAATTTTGTCTTGGTTGAACCCTCAAGGATTCTAGTTAAAGAAATGGAGAGAATGGGGGAAGTAAGACTTTTCCAAGACAATAAGACTGTTTGGACTGTCAACAAGGACTATTTGTATATTGAGGTTGAGAAGAATGCAGATACAGAAAGTCAAACAAATAGCCAGATAGGACTTCGACTTTCAAACATTTTAACAATAATGAGACGGGAACTCAACTGGTTGAAAGCTTACCCAAAACGTGCAGAGTGTGATGAACCAACAGACCTCTGAAACTATTACAATATACTATTGTTCACCAAGGGTGAAAGCATTAACAGTTGTTTACCATGAGTCCAACACAAGGGCCAGACAAACAGAAAGTTTTTTTTTTTTCCTACACATAGAAAATGTTGATTCTAAAACAAAGAGGTGAAATTCAGGACATTTAAGTCTAAAAGTTGACTGTATATAAAGTCTAAAAGTTGACTGTATATAATTACAAAAATATATTACAAAAACATATTATAAATGAGATGTTATGGATTTTACACACCACTAAATATTCAGAAATGGGAACTATATATCACTAACTTGAGTATTGAGATGATGGGAAGTAAGATGTATTATAAACTAGCATTAGTTACATGTCTTATCAGGAAAAAAAACAGGATGGTATTTCAAGAAGGAATAACTGAATATACACCTATATTCCATGGTCCCTATTTAGAATATTATAGGTATGATCACTTATATCTGGAAAAAGACGTATATTTGATTCCTGAAATTACCTTAAGATTCCACCCAAGGTATGAGTCATCTCAAATACTCAAATTGTTCTATGATACATGACCGCCACCTGGCGGGCAGGTGAGAGAAATAGCTTATGTACACACATTTCTCAACTAGCCAATCAGGAAGCCTGGTGGGAAGGTATCTTAGAACAATGGATTAGTGGATATAAAAGCCCTTGTACCTTTAACAAAAGGGACCTCATCAAGAAAAAGCTCAAGAAGAGACCTCATCAAAAGAAGACCCTGACATCTGAAGAAGATCTCTGCTGAATAACTACTCTTCCATCCTTTCAAACTTCCTATAAAACTTTAACTAAATTTCTAAACCTCTAACCTTATAACTTCCTACATTCTCCCCTACTGAATATCTATCACTTGCCCTATAATATCAGTCTAAAGGCGTTCCACTGCCAGCTAAATCCACGGGAGAGTTGCCTAGTCTGAATTCCGGGTGTGGTGAGATGTTTATTTGATTTTGTATTACCTATTTTCTCTGTTGTGTGGAATCATAGAATTACCTTAGTGTATCACAACAATATTGGGTAGTTAGATATATGTAGAGAGATCCTGTTTTACTGTTAAAAATTGTTTATTGCCATATTATAATTTTTTTCATATTTCATAATTTATTGAATATTAATAACCAGAGTATCATATATCAAGGGCTTGCTTCTTGCAATCCTATGGCCACGGCTTGTG